GGCACGTTTCATATTGAAACGTGTTCACCAGAGTACAGACCGAGCCTGGGTACTAGTCGGACGTTCATCACCACGCATTACAACTTTCATTGGTATAAATGCACGAACTCGAAACTCATGCCATGTTATTGGGTATTGAGGAATGGATTTTGGGACGCATAACATAGCATGCTGTAAAACACCCTGCGAACCATTTATAGTGGCTGGTTTGTAATTACAAACCAATGTCCTTTTTGGTAATGCTACGAAAATCCGTCGTAATTGCGAAGAAAATTCCTTGATAGGCTTACAAAGCAGAGAAATCCTTGGCAAATGCGAACAAATCCTTCCCAAGAAATCAGTGCATAGCTCCAAGCGGGAGACTTATTTGATTAACCGGCACTGGCGAGCTAGCGGGAGTGTGGTACCTCGTACCAGGTGAGTAGGTGAAGTGGTAAGGGAGAGAGTGGGAAACCCCCGGCGCGACTTTGAGAGGTGTGGTCTGTGCGACGGTCGGTCGGAGACGAGCTCATTACCCTGCACTTTGGGTTCCAAGAAGTGAAGCCCCGCAGTCGCTTCAAACTATCCCACGACGTTCCCAGCACAGAGTCTTATCAGTCGTGATGATGTAGGGACAGTCCCGTTGAAGCGGGTTCCGATGCGATACCCTAATGCGCGGCCGCCAGTATCCACTCCCTGACCCGGGCCGCCGCCCGCCGTCGCGCCGTCCCTCCCGACCGGGCGGGCGCAGGATTCCCGGAAGAGACCCTCCTCGCTCGCTCCTCCCAGCGGATTGGGGACCGGCCTGCTGGAGCCTGTTGAGGTCTGCGAAGCCTGAACGAGCTGCCGTAAGTCCATTGGAGGATTTTGAAACTTTCTCAAGTTCCCGTCCTCTCGGTGCCTCGGAGCACGCACGGGACACGCCAAACTTCACGGGAAATACATGCATGGATGCTGAACCTCATATACGTGATCAAAAAAAAAAAAAAGGTGAGCAACAAATCTAGCTGAGTGGAATACAACCCGCAACGAACGGTTCGTTGATTCTGCCCAAGTGGAATACAACCCGCAACGAACGGTTCGTTGATTCTGCCCAGTTTGAAGTGAGGACTAAAATGTTAATAATTATTCGGGCCTCTTTAACATCCTTGAAAGCTAGTAGGGAAGGGGGCACTTTGCGTCCCTATAAAGAGGGAACTGTCTATAAAGAAATAACGCTACTACACTGTGAATCAGGAATTTCATGCCACTGTATAGTTCGTACCTGTACATATCGATGCCTCCTAACGACAAAGTTCGATCTTCATCGGCACGGTTACACAAAGTTCGATCTGCGGCGGCTCGGTTGCACAAAGTCCGATGTGCAGCAGCACGGTTACACAAAGTTCGATCTGCTTTTCGCCGCTCGCGGGAGTCGCAAGTTTAGACATCTACTACAGTCTTGCTGCGATAGCATTCAATGTTTTCTTTGGAGTATGTTGTTCTTTGATCTTTTACAAACATGAAGCAGTTTTTACTTTTTTTTCTATCTGCAATATTGACGAGAATATGAGTACATTTAGGCTGCGCTGCAGAAACCACCGTAATGCAGATCGAACTTTGTGTAACCGTGCCGCTGAAGATCGAACTTTGTCGTTAGCAGGCATCGATATACGATATGTGAGGGCAAAGATGTCCCCGGCATCTGTGCGACACACTTCTAAGGTCGCGTGTAACTCAAGTCATACGGCTGCTGGGCATGATAGCGGCACTTGCCTAAAAAAATATTTGAAGGTCAGGACCAGGATGCTGTAGGCAGGAGAGGAAAAGGGCCATCGCCTGCTCTCGGGAACGATTGAAGCTGCTCCAGGTTTGTCAACCATCCAGTCGGGGCGGGGCCACGATCAGCTGACGTGTCAGCTGACGACGACACGGTTTCCGATTGCATCACGAAAGGCACGTGCGCCCCGTCGAGGCCACGAGCGACCCGTTTGATTCCATCCGTTTGATTCCATTACTCCATGAGTCCCGTCGGCCGCGACATTAACATTTGCCCAGCTTTGTGCCGCGGCTCGGGACGACAAAGGAAGCGGCTGGCGGAGCCAATAAAGCCATTGACTGTAATTACCGACGCGTTATCGCCTGCAGGCCGTGATGAATGGTTTCCTGAAAAGAGGCCCACCCCCCTCGATTAGCGACACAGAAAAAAGGATAATCCCAGGCGCAGTGACTGCTAGTCGAGGGTCCACGCGCCACGGCACCACAGGTAATCATGAAAGGTGGGGTTTTCCTCATTAAAGTAACAATAGATGATCTAGATGCGTTATGAAAAGGAGTCAGTTGGGTAGTTAAAAGGTGGTATAGTAGTTTCTCTCACAAGGCACAAGGCTGTATTCCAAGGCAACGCTCTCGAGGCGCGGAGACGTTGGTAATCCATCGGAGTTCTTGATTTCAGGTAAGGTATATAGCAGCATGTGTCTGTAGTAGAGTATCACTAGCATAATAAAAAACTTAATCAAATAGCGGAGCACTATTTTGCCACGTTTCTCTCACCATTTAACGATCGACTTCATCTCAATTTTTCAAACAAGTATAGAAAACAATTTATAGGAAAATTTCCAACCGCAATGCCGCCCCACGTCGTGCTCGTAGTTCCGAGTCCAGATGACCCTGCGGGCCACAGGACCGGGGCCCCATCATTTGAGTGTTATCATCGCGATGGACGAGTCGCGATAGCGCCGCACATGGAGACCGATACCGTGATTTACACTCGGGCACTCCCCTTTAACTCAATGTCCGATACGCGATGAGGAAACTTTTGCGCGGAGCCTCATAATGGCGCCTCGGGGTGGAGCCGAGCGCGAGCACCGCCCCGCGCCGAGCTCAAAATTAAAACTTTATTCTGGGCTGGGAGCAGCCGCACCTCCGATTAGCGCGGGCTGGTGGCGATGGAGGAGGGGACTCTGCGAGCGACGCGACGATGTCGTTCATCAGCGAGCTAACATCTCCGATCGTGGTGAAGGAACGCCTGGCTGAGTTGGCGGCCTCTGAAAGAGAAACCGTCAGGTTTTCCATCTCTGAACGCGAAAGTGCTGGTTATATCTACGAGATGAAGGCTATGGCGAAGCCTGTTACGCGCGGCAACTGGCCAGGCACGTGCAGCTAGTTCTGTTGTGTTTGAGATTGATTACACGGTGACACTTGCCCCCCTCTCCTGTTTCACCCTAAAACCACGCCAGCACGTGTCGAACCACAAACCCCAGGAGTGTGGACCTCCTCCGTAGGCTGGCTACTGGTACGGTAGTGTGGCCTTGAGGGGCAGAGCGGGAAAGAGCGGGTAGGAAGGGAAGGAGGGGGAGGACAAACAACCTCCACGAATATTCTCTTTAATACGGCACGACGGCGAGCGGGGGCAGGCGACGGCCGACGGGACCCTCCAGGCCCAGGGGAGCCGGGCCCCACGGCGCCCCTCTGCCCCCTGAGGTGGAAGCGGACTATTTGCCTCCTTTGCGTCCCCGAAGGACGCGCAGCCTCGGTGTCGGACGGGAGC